CCCTTCCGTTCAAATTCGGTATGGATTGTCCTAGGATTCCTAATTCGTTACATCTCTGCATACCATGTTTCCCCATTAATTGATATAATTATCTTCTGACTATAAAAGTGCCTGCGGCAATGGTCTTATGATATTTGAACTTGATATTTGCATGTATGATTCCTTGCTTTAAATTTTGGGATGCTACTTGAGTTCTGGTGTCTTACATGTTCTCTCTTCATTTTCGGGATGGATTGTCCTACTGATTCTACGAAGCTTGTTGTTTGCTTGGTTTTTCTAGGGAAATATGGCTTCAGAAATGAATGATGATAGTCTATCAATGAATCACGAGAGTAGTAATCAAAACCATCATAGTGTGTCTTCTAGTCGTATGGTATGGTCTTCTGGGAAGCAGTGGTCTGATGTGTGGAAGGAATATGATCGAGTTGTAATTAGTGGGCTGAAAAAAGCTGAATGCAAATACTGCCATAAAAAGCTTGCGGCTGAATCCACCTCTGGAACTTCTTATTTGCGCAATCATTTGTTTAAATGTCGAGTAAAAAAAGCTAATCCACTCATGGTTGGTGGACTTTTGGGTAGTAAGAAAAGGAAAATTGGTACTGGAAGTTCGAGTCCTGCTGTTTTTGACCAAGAAACTAGTAGAAAGGAGCTTGCTTATATGATTATTCTTCATGAATTTCCTCTATCGGTTGTCGATTATGTTGGGGTTAGGAGGTTTGCGTATTCTCTTCAACCGTTGTTTCAAATGGTTTGTAGAAATACAATCAAGAGTGATATTTTAAAGATATTCAAAAATGGAAAGATGAATGTAATGCATGAGTTAGAAAAAGTCAACAGTAGGGTGGCGATTACCACTGATATGTGGACTTCGAATAACAGGAAAAGAGGGTTCATGGTAGTAACTGGCCACTTTATTGATGATGCTTGGGTCCTTCAGAGTAAGATTTTGAGTTTTATCCACGTTCCTTCTCCACATACCAAGGATGTTCTATGTGCTACATTATTGAGTTCTATGACCAAATGGAACATTGAGAGAAAAATTTCAACAGTTAATGTGGATAATTGCAGTACTAATGATGCTATGATTAGAGCTCTTTTAGGAAAATTGCAAGAAGATACGTTGTTGCTAAATGGTTCTATATTTCATATGCGATGTGCTGCTCACATTCTCAACCTGATCGTGCAAGATGGGTTGTCTGTCATTGGGGAATGCATTGGGAGAATTCGTGACAGTGTTGTGTATTGGACTTCATCTGTTAAGAGAAGACAAAAGCTCAATGATGTGTTAGGCAGACTTACAAATATTGATTGTTCGAGAGAGTTAGTGCTTGATTGTAAAACTCGTTGGAACTCTACGTATCTTATGCTATCAACAGCTTTGATATATAAGGATGTCTTTGATCGTTTGATTGTTAGAGATTCAGATTATGTATGTTTTCCAAGTGAAGAGGAATGGGATATGGCATCTGAATTATGTGTGAAGCTAGAGTTGTTTCATGAAGCTACAAAGACATTTTCAGGAACTACTTACCCCACGGCTAATACATTTTTCCCTAAGGTTTGTGAGATTAAAATAGCTCCAAACGAGTGGCAGTTGAGTCCAAATGTAACTATTGCAACCATGGCTGAAGATATGTTGGATAAATTCAATAGGTATTGGGAGGTTATCCATGGAACTTTGGCTGTTGCAGCTATATTGGATCCTAGGTTCAAGATGAAGCTATTAGAGTGGGCCTTTCCCAAGATTTATGTTGGCACATCTACCTTTCATTTTAATAGGATTCGAGACTTCTGTTATGATCTTATGAGTGAGTACAAGACTACAGAACCTAGCATGGGTTCTTCTTCTTCTTCATCGCCACATCAACATGCAAGTTTTGGGTTTCTTGCCAGCTTTGATTCTTATGTTGGTAGTACCGGATCTAATTGGAATGTTAAAGAAGAGTTTGACAAATACTTGCGAGATGGTTTGATCCCAAGAAGCGAAGAGTTCGACATTTTATCTTGGTGGAAGAACCATGGCCTACAATATCCAACCTTAAGGTTGATTGCTAAGGACATTCTGGCCATTCCAGTGTCAACAGTTGTCTCGGAATCTGCATTTAGCACAAGTGGAAGATTATTGAACCCTCATCGTAGCCGCCTTGATGACACGACTGTGGAGGCTCTTATGTGCACCCAGAACTGGCTTAGGAATGAACTTCATGGTAAGAAACAACTTGTTGTTGCAGTTATTCATTATTTACCTTCTGTGTATGTTGTGGTTGAGTGCATACCTTCTTGGTTTCCCTTTTTGCAGGTGTGGCCATCTTCTCTTCAGACGTTGATGGTTCGACTCAAACCATATTCTGTGAGAATGATGGCGGTGATGATGAACAAGTTATGGAATATGAGGACTGAGAAAGAATTTGGGAGTTTGTATGTTGTTGGTTGTCAGTGACGTGAGTGGTTCTGCTGTTCTTTTTTTACTTTACCGTCTCTCTTCTGAAGAACGTGTCAATGTGGTTAGTCCAGTTCTTTCTCTATTAGTACTGTATCGAAGAACAATTCTCAACACATGATGAATGAGAAGCCATGGTGGCGAAGTAGAGTAGTCATGGTGCTGCTGTCAGAGAGTAAATGGTCCGAGCTTAGTACTGGTTGGATTATTGCTCAATGCTGCTCATTGTACTACCAACTCCAGAAATTCTGCTGCTGTTGCTACTGCTATTGTCTCATATGTGTTGTGTACCCTCTGCTGTCTTCTCGAATGTCTACCCCACCAGCATCACAAATCATATAAAAGTGAGGAAAAACGTTAGACATATGCTGCATATTAGTTACCTTAACCAAAGATTTCACTTAATGGATCCATCTCTACCTCACTTTCCCTGTTGTTGTTGTTGTTTTCTTCCCCCACTTTTCACCCTCAAAAACAGAACCCTCTTCTTTCTTCCTTGCTCCTTGTCTGTGTTCTGGAGAAAGGAAAGAAGCCCTACTACCAAACCCCTACTCCCTTAAACCTCCCCTGCTTAATCACCCATCAAAGCAAAGAACAAAAAACCAGTCCAGGAAAACCCCTACTCCCTTAAACCTCCCCTACTCCCTTAAGCCCCTGCTTCTCCACCTTGAATTGATCCATGTAGGCATGGGCTACACTACGTGGACTGGATTCAGCAATGTATACTTTCCCTTTGTTGATTGATTTCCCTTGTTCATCATACAACCTTGGAGGTATCTGCGGTAGAATTAGGGGAGTGTAGTACAGAACCAAAATCAGATTGAAATAGGTTCAAATAGGTTCAACATCATATGGGTTCAAGGAGATGGGAGATGGCCGGCCAATTACATTTTAGTACCTGAAGTTTTTAAGAAGATACAAATAGGTTCAACATCATATGTGGAAAATTATATTTTAGTACATTAAAAATTTTGCTTTACATTTTAACACCTAATAAAAAAAATATATACAGGTGGGTCCAAGGAGATGGGTACCCAAGCCCAATCCATACCCAAAAATAAAATTTAAACCCAACTCCACCTACCCAAACACTATCCAAATCCATATAGAATAAATCCATACCCATACCCATATGAATGGGTATAATTGGGTTTGGGCAAAAATACCCATGGGTGGGTAAATTGCCATCCTACGAGACAGGGATCGCATGCAATGTTTGATTGGGCTGGGTCAGGTGTGGAATGGCCTCCAGTCAGAAATCCAAGGTCAGGTGCTGACCAGAGGGATTCACAAGCTGAGTTACCCCCGACGGCGGATATTAGCCATGCGGGAGCTACCGGATTTCGTGCGGGGGCGGATGGTGGTGGGGAGTTGTGATTTGAGGCAGTCGCCGGCGACTGCATGGAGGAGTAGGGCAGATTTTGCCCGTCCGAAACGTTCGCCGCTTTGTCAGCGATCAAGTAGGGGAGAATCACGGATCTTTGCTGGCGGTTTTAGACGTATCCAGCGTATCCCGGGATTGAACGCACTCTGGTGTGCGAAAACTCCTAGTGATAGTAAAAGCCCGGACCCTTCCTTTCTCTATAGGAGTCCTCATGCAGGGAGAAGTCTCCCAAACTTCTATTTATTGCCTAACTCCCGAACGTTTCCCTTCATCTCACAATTAGCAGCTGATTTTTTAAGAGTGGTTGACGTTCTCAAGTCCCCACTTTCCACTCCTCAGCAAGAAAGTTTCGTTCAGGGAGGCATCATGTCGCATATTTCGGATGACCAGGTGGTGCAATTCTCGCTAGAAGAGGTGCACTCGGCCAAGTTTCGTGCTACGCGGTCAGTGTTGGGGAGGTTGTTCTCGGCCCAACCCTTCTCACCGGCGGAACTAATGGCTGCCCTCGATGGGCCGTGGCAGGGAAAGGGGAGGATACAGGTGATGGGGACACGTTTTGGTCTGTTCGAGATCGTGTTACCTAATGAGGCGTCCAAGAACTGGGTCATCAAAAGATCGCCTTGGGTGATTAATGACAGCATTCTCAATGTCCGCGCTTGGGTTCCCTCGATCACCAAGCAAGTGTTTGAGGACCTGGCTGCAGCCCCGTTCCATGTCCAACTTTGGGATATCAAAGATGGGTGCTGCACTCAGCAGTTTGGTCGCAAGATGGCTGACTGGAAGGTGGGTAAGGTCATTGAGGCAGGTGTTTTTACCTGTTAGGAATCTGATCAGTGTTTCGTGAAGATACGCGCTTTGATTGACTTCTCCAAACCGCTCAGGTCGCAACTAATGGCGGCCAATGATGAGATAGGATGCTTCTGGGTTTCGCACAGGTATGAACATCTCCCCAGCTTCTGCTTTCGTTGCGGAAGGGTGGGGCACTTTCAACGGGAGTGTGTTTTTGACCCGCCCAATCGGAAGGAGAAGTTCGGGATTCACATGTCCACCCGCAGGAGAGGAGTGAAGATTTATACGGCGGAGGAGGACCATACCCCCACTGTCTGGGTTAACCCGAATATTCGGCGGCTGCACAATGATGGGGAGGATTCTTCTCGACGAACCGGGACGCAAGGGATGGGGAGTCAGGCTGGAGATCGAGGCAAGTGGCAGGGGACCTCAGGCACGGTTGAGAGGCAACAGGGTAGCCTGGACCGGGCTGGCCCGCGAGGTGGCAGCAGTGCTCGGCAGGAGCTGATGAGGGCAGAGGGGGAGGTGTCGTTGCGTGGGGAAGAGGCAGTCAGGGAGCCAATCATGCGACGTACGAGCCCAAAGGGATTTACGATCCCAAAGCCGGTTCGCACGCCTAGGCTGTCGCGTGCAACTGCTCTCTCGGCTGGCACTGAAGGAGAGACGCAGCTGGCAAAGCGTCGACGTCGGGCGGGAAGGCAGGAGGAGGTGAGTGTGGGGACGTGCACGGCGCCACTCCGATCGGGTCGGAAGCCGCGGGGGGAAGCAGACCGGAGCAAGGAGGCTAGGAGCAGGGTGGGGTCGAAACCAGGCAAACGGGTTTTGCGTAAGGGGGAGGTGAAGGTCGAACCTCAGCTGCAGCAAGCAGCTAGGCGACGCAAATTGTTGTTGGAGGAGTCGGAGGAGGACGAGCCGCTAGCTCCTATTTTGACGAGGGCGGGAGGGAGTGCACAGGAGGGGGCTGGCGGGGGGAAGAAAGTCTCTTGCACTGCCTTGGATGGGAACCCTCCCGAGAATGTCTCGTCTGGGCGTGTTAGTATGCGAACCAGGCAGCAGTCTAGCAGGCAGGAGGGTGTCGAGGAAGAGGTGGTGGTGGAGGACGCGCAGCAGGCGGCGGGCAAACGTAAAGGGAAGATGGTGGTGGTGGAGGAAGATTCAGAGGAATGGGAGCCGCCTTTTGAAAGCAAGGGAGTGGGGGAGGAGGGCTCAGACGCTACTCTATCGGATGGAGTGGCAGACCAGTTCGAGATTCGGTCAAGGGCCCCTAGAGGGTCTGATTCGGCTCATCAACCAAACCTTGCGGGTAGGGTCAAGCAGGTTGTTCAAGCATTTGAAGCTGGTACTGTGGTGTTGGAGGAAGGAGGAGGAGTTGAAGAGATGATCAATGTGACCGATGCTCCTGCTGTGATTGATGAGTATGGCTCGAATGTATCGGTGATGGGGATGGGAGGGAGGAAGCGTTCATGGAACATGATTGCTGAAGAGGCTGAAGAATCTCCCACGGTGAAAAGGCAATTTGTGGAAGCAAGTGGGACTGAGGAGCTGATATCGGTGGAGGAAGACAGCCGGAAGTGGCCCCAGGAGGATAGATGAAGATTTTGGCGTGGAATGTTAGAGGAATCGGACCCTCCCTCACATTCCAATCCGCCGTGGGTCTTGTGCGGTCTAATAATCCGGATCTTGTTTTCTTTTCGGAAACTCGATCCAGTAGGCGTGTCGTGTCCCGTCGTTTGCAGGGCCTAGGTTTTCAGGTCTCTAATTGTTTTTTCGTTGATGCAGTCAATGCATCGGGTGGTCTAGTTGTAGCTTGGTCCGCCGGAGTTGATGCTTCGGTGTTTTTTCATTCGGATTTTGCGATTTGTATTCGTATTAATGAAAGTTCTTTTTCCTATGTGGTGATTGGTGTTTACATAAGTTGTGTTGATTCGATTCGTGCTACCCAGCTAGTCACTCTTCGTCGAATTTGTGAAGATATTCCGTTGCCATTTGGGGTGATTGGCGATTTTAATTCTACCTTGCATGCTGGGGAAAAAGATGGGGGAAATCAGTGGAATGTGGGGCAATCCTTGGCTCTCAATTCCTTTGTTCAGGATTTGGGGCTTCAAGACCCTGGGTTCCAGGGCGACCAGTTCACCTGGACGAACAAAAGAATGGGGCAGGCTTGTATTCGTGAGAGGCTTGACCGTGCTCTCTGTTCTCAGACTTGGATTGACTAGTTCCCTGAGACGATTGTCAAACACTTTACGGACCAGGGATCGGATCACAGGGCTTTGCTTTTGTCTGACAAAGCTTACCCGAGGCTCTGTCGCCCTCTGCTTCGATTTGATGCTCGTTGGGCAGATAATCCGGAGGTTAGGGCCATGGTTAGATATGTTTGGCAGGAAGAAGAGGTTGAGGGGTCCCCCATGTTTATGCTTTGGACCCGACTAAAACGGCTTCGTCACCTTTTGTATGATTGGAGTAGAGCTGGAACGACTAATTTACTTCGGAATATTAGAACCCTCCAATCGGAAATTGAGCGTATTAAGCAGGTCTCCCCGGTGAATTGGGATGAGATTTGGATCCTTGAGAGTGACTTGCATCGTCAGTGGGAAGCGGAGGAGCTTTACTGGCAGCAAAAATCGAGGGTGCGCTGGTTGAGGAGAGGTGATCAGAATACCTCCTATTTCTATACGGTCACTCGGGCTAGGCGGAAACGGAACTTTGTAGAAGGATTACAGAATGAGAATGGGGAGTGGATTACGGAGGAGAAAGGGAAGGCGGATTTGGCCTCGGAGTTTTACCAGACCCTGTTCTCTTCGGAAAACCAGATTCCGGATATGAGGGCCAGGGTGGATGCCTTACCGCTGTCTTGTAAAGTCACGGATGATATGAATGCTAAGCTCATTGCGCCGGTCTTCCCGGAGGAGATACGTCGGACGGTCTTCTCAATGGGCTCTAAGCAGGCTCCGGGGTCGGATAGCTTCACAGGCAAGTTTTTCAAATCCTTCTAGGATATTGTGGGCGATTCGGTGGTTGATGCGGTTAGCTCCTTTTTCCAATCAGGGAAATTGCTTCGTAGCTTCAACCATACTTGGCTCACTCTAATCCCGAAGGTTGAGAATGTGGAGACTATTCGTCAATTGCGACCTATTAGTCTGTGCCAGTTTGTGTATAAGGTGATTACCAAGATTATGACTAAGTGGTTGGCTCCGTTCCTCCCCCGGATAGTAACGGAAGGTCAGAATGCTTTCATCCGGGAGCGCCAGATAGTGGAAAATGTGTTGTTGGGGCACGAGTTAATGCATTACCTAAAGATTAAAAATCGAGGGAAGAAAGGATACATGGCTCTAAAGGTTGACATGGAAAAGTCCTATGATAGAGTCGAATGGTCCTTTCTTCTTGCGATTCTGGCCAAACTAGGTTTCAGCCTGACTTGGATTGGTTGGATTAGGGATTGTCTTAGCTCGGCATCGTTTTCAATCCTTATGAATGGTAGTCCAGCGGGGTTTTTTTGCTCATCCCGAGGTTTGAGGCAAGGGGACCCCCTCTCTCCACTCCTGTTCGTACTTTGTACGGAGGGTTTTGCGGCTCTCCTAAAGAAGGCCATCTCGGAAGGGAAGCTGGAGGGTGTGAAAGTAGCTCCTGGGGCTCCTCGGATCTCTCACTTGTTCTTTGCGGATGACTCGTACCTGTTCCTGCGAGGTTCGCTTCAGCAGTGTGAGAATCTGATTGTGGTTTTAAATGAGTATGAGGAGCTCAGCGGGCAGCGGGTGAATTTGGGGAAATCAGCAGTCTGCTTCAGTAAGAATATCACAGTGCAGGATCAGGTATTCCTAGCCCAAATTCTGGGAGTGGGGGCTGTGGGGGTCCATGATAAATATCTGGGTTTACCATCCCTCATCTCTCGTTCGAAAGTGGCTACGTTTCGCTTTGTGGAGGAAAGGTTGATTACCCGCCTGCAGGGATGGGCTCAGCGTTCATTGTCCACGACCGCTAGGGAGACGCTGATCAAGTCAGTTGCTTCGGCTCTACCGCTTCATGTGATGTCATGCTTTAAGTTGCCGGTTACTCTCTGTCGAACGTTGGATAGCTTGGTTGCAAGATTTTGGTGGGGGGGTCGAGGATGGGCACTCCCGCATTAGGTGGATGTCTTGGCTTAGGATGTGTCAGAGTAAACATGAGGGTGGGATGGGGTTTCGCCGTTTTGAGTTTTTCAATCAAGCGCTTCTTGCTAAAATTGGCTGGCGAATCCTGACTGATCCTCAATCCCTTCTCGCCCAGGTATATAAAGGGAAGTATTTTCCCCGGGGAGACTTCCTCTCGGCGACTCCCCGATCTCGGCCTTCTTGGGGTTGGCAGAGTACCCTGTATGGACGTCAATTGCTGGCCCAGGGGATTAGATGGCAGGTCGGGGATGGGCGAGGGGTGGCGGCTTTGTCGGAAAATTGGGTGCCCGTGCTCCATCCAGATCCACCCATGTTTAATCCTCGAGTTCTTGAGGAGGGAGTGGAGTTGATGGTGGCTGATTTCATTTGCCCGATGGTGGGGTGCTGGTTACCAGAGAAGCTTGGGGAATGGTTCCCTCCTAAGACTTGTTGTGCTATCCGCAAAATTCCATTGCCTAGACGGGGGATTGTGGATAGGATTGTCTTGCATGAGACGGGGGATGGGCTCTTTACAGTCAAATTAGCTTATCGTCTGGCTGTTCACCCGGATCAGCAATCTGGGAGATGGCGCCCGATGGTTAGTTGGATGGATCGGGGGAGTTGGAAGCCGGTGTGGAACTTGGGTATACCACCTAAGCTAAAGGTGTTCTTATGGCAAGTCCTGCACAGGTTCCTACCCACTACAGAAGCTCTGATTGAGAGAAAGCTAGAGGTCCATCCACGCTGCCCGGTGTGCTGGGCTGCGCCTGAAACTATGGAACATCTCTTTTTTGATTGATGTGTGGCGCGTGCTTTGTGGGATCTTGCTGGGTTAGAGCATGTGGGCCAGGGGTTGCCTCGTCGTACCTTCCCTCTATTCCTCAAGAACCTACTGGCCATAGTGACGGACCCTTCCCAGGTTATGAAGATTGTAGCCGTGCTTTGGCGGATCTGGAAATCTCGAAATTGGGTTGTCTTTGAAGGCAAGCAGTTTGGGATACCAGCCCTGCTTCGGCAGTATCATCAGCAAGTGAGGGAATGGGAGTCGCTTCCCCATGAGGTTATGGGTCCTGACCCGGTGAGGGTCCCCGCGGGGGGGTCACAGGATAATCAGGAGACACTCATTTGTAGGTGGGATGGGGCGGTGCGGCGAGGGTCACATTCATCTGGGGGGATGGTTCTGATGGGCTTGGATGGGGTCGTGTGGAGTGCGCAAGGGGTTTGTTTCCCGGATATTGAGGATCCTATGCTAGTTGAGGTGTTCGCTCTCAGGGAGGCTATTGTCTGGTGTCGGAACTCAGAATGTCGCGTTGTTCGCTTTGAAGGGGATGCGAAGGTGGTGGTGGATAGGCTTCGCTTGGCTCACGAGAGTGATAGTATGGCGGGAGCCATTTTTCGAGAAGTATTGCTCTACTTGGCTGAAGACGCGGGGTTTAGCGTTCGGTTCGTTGGTCGGCGTATTAACAGGGTAGCCCATCTGGTGGCTAAAAAGGCCCTTCTTTTGTACCCAATAGCGAATCGCCATTTTGATTTTGTAGCCTGGTTGAGGCAGATGATGTAATGATCTTTTCTGGAATATCAATATATGATTATCTTTTGCCAAAAAAAAAAAATAGTTAACACTCTCTGTTGTACAACCAAATTTTTATCTCAAGAGGCATATGTTCCAATCAAAAATTCAATCTCTAATCCTCCTTCTACAACTCCATTCTTTTCGTCATGGAATGCTATCACAGCTGAAATCTTCTACTTGCCTAGCTTAAATCCCCAATAATAAAATCGTAGTGTCAAGAGATACCAAAAGATTGATTTCAAAGGCGACCTTGTATTGGAAAGTGAAAGGGCGCAAACTATTGCACGATAGAGGGAATTTTGGAAGAAGTTAAAAGAGATAAGAACAAAGATTAAAAAAAATACTAAATTTAATTTAAATTGAAAATTTCAAGGACACAACACGCAGTAACATAATTAGTTTCTTCTATGGTAGCCAATTACCAATCTACCTTTAGCAAAAAAATTAAGGCGAGAGCAAAAAATTTAAAATTGAAAAAATTACATGAAACTCCCTATGAAAACTGAAGTATCAAGCACCATAAAAATACATACGGTAGACTTAGTGAGCTTGCTAATCATGATGGAAAATTACTCCAATTTTCAGACTTTAACTTTGTGTATGTTTTGTACTCGAAAAGATACAAAAAAAATTTGTCATTGTTTTAAGAGATCCGGGTTCGAATCCTCATATTGATATTTTTATATGAGATAAATAATTAATTGTAAAGACAAAAATGTCCTTCCTACTTTCACTCTCGTTGCAGGAAATTGAAATGGAAAAAAGTTCACAAAACTCTACCATATATTATTGGAGGACATAGAAATATTTAAAGTTCTAACCTTTAGTGGGTTTGTTGGATATGAGTCATCAGTTAAATATTGGAAAGATATTCTTTTCTGAATATAATTATTAATTGTTCATGAATTATAAAAAAAAAATTTGACATTGGAAATACTATCATTTCCATGTGTATCTAGGATGCGCTTAAAATACTATCAATTCCCAAATTGTGACTATGGGGCAGGATAGATACCAGTTAAACCAGTTAAACGTCATTTGGATGCTTGATTACGTAATGTAAGTCATCATTTTAATTTATGTATTTTGTTGTGTGGTATAAGTTAGAGTTAAGAACCCAAATTTGATTCCATAATCATTATTTTTTTAATAATAATGATGAGATGAACCACTTCTTCCCGTGAGAGTGAAAGCCTGACCATCAATCCCCACAAAACGTTGGAAGAGTGAAAATACGAATTTCAATATAACAAGTCATTAATACGTAAATGCTTACCCTTCCAGTAGTGGGTATTTCATGAAATGCAAAGTTGTTAAAGTTAGGAATACAACAATGTTAATATGTTGCATATGCAACCTATTATGAAAAGTTAAAGAGGACTATGAAGAGTATTTTTGAGGGAATTGTACAATGATATCAGGAAGACAACGGTAGGTAATGGAATTGAAGTTTGGAACGTCTTGCCAAATTATTTTCCAATGGTATAGTGTACATATACCATAAACAATTCTGGCAATGATTATTTTGATGATCACCATCCTTTGGCAATCTTATTCAATCCCTGTAAGGATCCATCTTAGTTTCATTTTCCTTTCCCTCATGGCATAGGAAACATGAAGTTTAAACCACATACATGATAAACAAATTATCATGTCGGGGGAACGCTTTTCACCATTATTTCAATTTACTTCAAGATCACAACTCAAACAATTTTGTTACATAAACCAAATTGTTGCATCTTGCAAGCATCAATATTGAAATTATACAAATTTTAGTGACAAAATTTGTTTCAAGAATTCAACGTGAATTCTTCCAAATTCAAACAAATTGAATTTCTCCAAACTCTTCTCATAATATGAATTATGAGTTTGATCTCATCTCAAATACTAAAAAAGTATTTGATATCACTTAATCGAATAAAATTGGTTCATCATATTTCCTTGCACAAAAATTGCATCATGAACATGACCGAACCATGCAAAATCAAGAAAGCAACAATAGACATGCCGATTTATTTATTTATTTTTTTATGAAAAATAAAATCCATTGCACTATCGTAGTTACCAATTTGCATGCAATCACAGTTCCATTAATCATGCCAAATCACACTATATATATTTGAGATGCTCATTTCTACAGGAACTCGATTTCTTTTATTCTTTCGTCCTCTCCAATGACAGGAAGTGCAAAACCGGTAGTTACTGTCCATTCTTAATAATCAATCCACCTCATATATAAATACAAGGGTTGGTTATAAGGAACCGATCATTCCTTTGCAAGATATATGTATGTATCTACAGATGCCTCCAATGCATTCATTTTGCAGCTTATGCATGGCATACTTTCAAACAATTCCAATGCATCCATGCTTTACATCCAAAAATTGAACGGACAGGGACTAAGAATTACCTGTTTTATTTTTTCCGATGTCTGCCAAAAGTCCATTTTCCCTCTCGGTAACCAACCAAAAGAATGAACCAACCAATGTAATGGTCAATTATTTTCCAGTGACGAAATGGAATGTCTATCGCCAGTGTACTACCACCATCATTTGCTTCTTTTTCTCTTGTCATGCCTTCTACGTATTCTTTACTCTGGAATCCATTTTTCAACAACAAAATAACACTCTAACATTGTCAGGAACTGGTAGGAAAGAATCGGATTGAAGGCGTGATTAATCACTCTCCTTAGAGTGTTATTTGCCCCCACTACAAATTGCTGGTAGGCTCGAGCAATTCACAACAATCTGAATGGAAAATTTCCAATTCACGCTGCCGACAACCAAAAAGTAGTTGTATCATCCATCTTAATTGAAGATCATACTTGCTTATTCTTTGACATTGAGATATCCTTCAAAGCTTCCAAGTAAATACGATTGATGCGGCGACTGGAACGACATAGATGATGGTGTTGGGTGCTAGGGTAACCAGACTCTGCCACTAATTGACGAGTGAGTGGATTTTAAATCAGTGATTGATTAATAGAAATATAAGATTAGATGAGAATTAGGCAAAATGAGGAAAATAAATAAATGATTATATGAGGAAGAATTGAGACTGCATTGGGACTAGAGAATTGAGGAACGGGGGCTATAAGTGACTCGCTATAACACAACTCCTAACAAAGGCCAAGTGTAACCAATGAAAGGGACTGCAGTATAGTGGCTCAAGTGATAAATATCGAATCCACGGGTCTCTAGAGTTACTATTACTCAACTTCATTTTATTATTTAGCAAACCAGATTAAGATGAAAGAACTAAAACTACTCTAGCAAACTACAGTTAAAGTTAATCTAATTACATGTTGGGAACTCACTTAGGTATGATTCCCCCTAGCCACTAGCCAGACTAACGATTGATGATTTCTAACTTGTTTCACTTTCATTCACAATGCGGAGAATCCTTGACTAGACCTTGAGTCTCGACTAAAGGAACAAGGCCCTCTTGAGTCAATTGCCTAGAGGGACGTATCCTTCTCTAGAACAACTGATCAAGGCGTTCTGAACTAGACTCCCTCTTTCGAAAGAGGTTCTCAATCGATACAAAGCAGTGAATCAACCCTCGACTAAAGCAATCGATCCACTACTATCAATCTATGGTGCTCTATTGACCTAATCAGGTATTCCCTCTCATAGGATCAAAGCAGAATCAATAATCTCGACTAAAGCAGAATTGAATCATGAAAACATGCATAGATTGAATATGAACTCAAGATTATCAAGTCAGAGTACTCATACAATCATCCAATCAAACAAACATAGCTAGGGTTCCTCAAAACCTAAGTGAAGGGAAGTTACTCCATAGAGAAGAGAGAGACTGCAGTAAGAATCTTCAGATGATCAGTCTTCAAGTCCGGGCTTGTTCCTCGAGCTTCCAAGGCGAAGAAATCCTCCAATTCCACTCTTAGAATGCCCTCAGATCGCCCTTTCTCTCTTTGGTTTGTCCCTTGGGTGTTTGGGATCCAAAACCCAGCTCTCTCCTTTCCTTTTGGCTGAAAATCTGCTTAAAAGGGCATCAGTGGCCAAAGCACGGTCGAGGGCACGGCCGTGTAATGCCTCAGCCCGCCCGTGCTTTGGCTAGGGTTAATTACACGGCCAGTGCATTGGGAGAAACACGGCCGTGCTTTGGAGAGAACACGCCGTGCTTTGGGAGAACACGGCCGTGCTTTCAGTCCGTGTAATCAGCTCATGTTTGCCAAACTCGAATTAGCTCTCGGCAGTAAAAGCACGGCCACAGAACACGGCCGTGTAATGAATTAGGTGTGCCCGTGTTTTGGCTCCAGCTCGACGAAATGACTTCCGAATGCCCCGAAACTCGTGCTTAGCCTTTCCTTTGACGCTTGGGACCTGAAATATGACAAAATAGCACAACCCGGCGTAAAATAGGCCAAAAGTACACGACTATGCCCCTCAAACGGATAAGAACTAGGGGCGCAAATATGTGCAATTACATCGTTATCAAACTCCCCCACACTTAACCGTTTGCTTGTCCCCAAGCAAACCTAACTCAAACCAATGCAACTCTCCAGACTTCTATAGCAACAAACAACCCAGATCGTAGGTAGAGGACTTCCTAGATCATTTAGCAGCTTACGAGGTCAATCGACGCACAAGTCATCTCATAGCTCCTTCGGAGAGAGCACTAGTATCGAGTCGGCATCATGGAAAATAGTGAACAGAGGACAAATGAATTGTGGATGAAGAGATTCTCAAAAACAAAAGATCATGGACTCACATTTTTCAAGGTGCTCTATATTCTTTGAAGATAGTTGGAACCCCTTTTCTTTCTGTTTTGCTTGTTTTCTGTGATTTTTTTTTTTCAAGGGTCCCAACCGGCTCTTACCGGCAATGCCAGGAGCGGATGTCTCGAGCCTCGTGCGGGGGAAAGACATGTAAGGGGACTGGAGGTAGTAGGTGGAAATTGGGAACGGATTCCCGTCTCCCCTTACACACTTTCTCCCTATTCGCACGGGAGATGTTATTTTGAAGCACATTTTCGAGCACCTGTTATTTTCAAAGCATGATACAAGATTCCATGACAGGCAGAGAATCCACAACACCACACAATTCAAGGGTCCTAAGATCACTAATTCACTCAATCAACCAACACAATATGAAGAAGAAATGAGATTTCTTAAAGGCATCAACATCCTCCATAGTGCTACACTACCTCCCTAGGTTGCATATTACTATAAAGACTGTCAATTCAAAGCATACTGAGCAGGCAATTGCAAGGAACACGTACTTGGAGCCCTCAAATTTAAAAATTTGGACAGTGGACTAGGCTCCAAGCACATAAACAGCCAAACATTCACCTGCATAAATAATCGAACATCCCCCCACACTTAAGCATGACATTCTCCTCAATGGAGGAAAGATAAGGAGGGTAGAAGGAAGTTACCAGATCAAGGGTGAATGATGATGAACGGGTCAGGCGGTGCATTCCAGAAAGAGAGAGTAATCAGAACACAAACACCACACAAAATCTCACAAAGGTTGAGTTATTGACTCTAAAATCAAATAACAAAACTGACTCAACCGAGGAGAAATAGAGAAAGAAATGCAAACCGACTGTTTGGGTTGCCTCCCAACAAGCGCTTCTTTCACCTCGTGAGCCAGACGATGGCTCCTAAGTTTCGGTCCATGCTAAAACCTCCTTGAAGTTGAGGTTCTCGTCGATGAGGTGGAGTCTCAAGTCACGAGCATGTGGTGTGACAGGTGATGAAGGCTCATGTACTTGATGCAGATGAAGTCTCCACCCTCGAGACCTCTTCTTCTCTTCTCTCGTCTCATTGCCCCAAACCAGATATGACAGCATCGATTGGCCACCATCGCGTCCACCAAGAGGGACCGATTTCGATGTGGCTTTGGTCCGGCAAAGAAACACTGCAAATGGGTCCTTGCTAAGCAGTTCCTCAAAGTTTGGTGGAGATATCACATGTAACTCATGGCCGGTGCAGGCCTCTTCCACCTTAACTCCGTCCTCAGCCTGGACGCCAATTTCTTCTTCAACCTCCCTTCCTTCTTCATGTGGTATCACCCCTGGGAAATTATCAAGAACTCCTCCTGCTTCACTTTCGTCATCCTCCACAACTTCTTTCTGCACCCTTTCTTGCTCTTCTTCTTCTAGCACGGATTGGAGAGCAAGTTGCCAAGCAATTTCTTTCATGAGATCTTCTTGCATCTCCTCACTCATGCTCGCTTCTTCAAAGCTCAGTTTGGGGTGTGGGAAGGTGTGGTCGGCTACGACAGGACATTCCTGATCATGACCATCACGGGAGCTCTCCGTGACAACTTCTGTGTGTTCCACAATGTCCTTGTAGCCTTCTTCTTCCTCCTCCTCTTCTAGTATGGTAGCAGAAGGGTGATTTGGAGCAGGTTGTGCCCAAGATCGCTCAAGATCATCGACGCTCTTCTTAAGGCTCAGGAGGATCTCCTCTGTTTCACGATAGGCCTGGACACAATGATCCATCCTAGAGCATGTTCTATCACAGTCTCGAGCAAACTGCTCCATGATAAGTCTCAATTCATAGTGTGGATCTGGGTGTGGAGTGTAGCATGGCTCTGCAGAATGGCCCGTGAAGGCCGCCATGGGTAATTCCCGCTCCAATGGCCCCTCTGGTTGTGGGAAAAATTCTTCTTGGTAATGAGGTTGTTCTTGATATGCCCAGGGGTCCGGTTGTTCTCCGTAGTAAGGGGGTTGGTACTGGAACCCGAATCCATAGTCTTCTCCTCCTTGATTGCTCCAGGGAGTCTCAGGGTAATACCACTCGGGTGGTGGTGGATACCCCCAATTGTTGGAGAAGCCATGAGGATCCATGATTCAGATCTGCACCAACAAAAACAAAAACACCCAAGTGAAAAGCAAGGGTGGAAAAGAAAAGAAAAGAAAAACGCTAAAGTAACAAACTTCTGCCTTTCCTAATAATCTAGAAAGTCCCTGCAACGGCGCCAAAAACATGACTCGCTATGACACAACACCTAACAATGGCCAAGTGTAACCAATGAAAGGGACTGCAGTATAGTGGCTCAAGTAATAAATATCGAATCCACGGGTCTCTAGAGTTACCATTACTCAGCTTCAGTTCATTATCTAGAAAACCAGATTAAGATGGAAGAACTAAAACTACTCTAACAAACTACAGTTAAAGTTAATCTAATTACAGGTTGGGAACTCACTTAGGTATGATTCCCCCTAGCCACTAGCCAGATTAACGATTGATGATTTCTAACTTGTTTCACTTTCATTCACAATGCGGAGAATCCTTGACTAGACCTTGAGTCTCGACAAAAGGAACAAGGCCCTCTTGAGTCAATTGCCTAGAGGGACGTATCCTTCTCTAGAACAACTGATCAAGGCGTTCTGAACTAGACTCCCTCTATCGAAAGAGGTTCTCAATCGATAAAAAGCAGTGAATCAACCCTCGACTAAAGCAATCGATCCACTACTATCAATCTATGGTGCTCTATTGACCTAATCAGGTATTCCCTCTCATAGGATCAAAGCAGAATCAATAATCTCGACTAAAGCAGAATTGAATCATGAAAACATGCATAGATTGAATATGAACTCAAGATTATCAAGTCAGAGTACTCATACAATCATCCAATCAAACAAACATAGCTAGGGTTCCTCAAAACCTAAGTGAAGGGAAGTTACTCCATAGAGAAGAGAGAGACTGCAGTAAGAATCTTCAGATGATCAGTCTTCAAGTCCGGGCTTGTTCCTCGAGCTTCCAAGGCGAAGAAATCCTCCAATTCCACTCTTAGGCTTCCTTCAGATCGCCCTTTCTCTCTTTGGTTCGTCCCTTGGGTGTTTGGGATCCAAAACCCAGCTCTCTCCTTTCCTTTTGGCTGAAAATCTGCTTAAAAGGGCATCAGTGGCCAAAGCACGGTCGAGGGCACGGCCGTGTAATGCCTCAGCCCGCCCGTGCTTTGGCTAGGGTTAATTACACGGCCAGTGCATTGGGAGAAACACGGCCGTGCTTTGGAGAGAACACGGTCGTGCTTTGGGAGAACACGGCCGTGCTTTCAGCCCGTGTAATCAGCTCATGTTTGCCAAACTCGAATTAGCTCTCGGCAGTAAAAGCACGGCCACAGAACACGGCCGTGTAATGAATTAGGTGTGCCCGTGTTTTGGCTCCAGCTCGACGAAATGACTTCCGAATGCCCCGAAACTCGTGCTTAGCCTTTCCTTTGACGCTTGGGACCTGAAATATGACAAAATAGCACAACCCGGCGTAAAATAGGCCAAAATTACACGACTATGCCCCTCAAACGGATAAGAACTAGGGGCGCAAATATGTGCAATTACATCGTTATCAATAAGAGAATTGATAGAAATTCACGGGTGTGTAGAGTAAAATTAGGGTTTGGAGAGAACAAAATTGAGAGGATTAGAGAGGACGAGCAATGAGGTAATTGATTCGATAGATATTTTGTTCATTCCTTAATCATGTAGCTGAATGAACAAAGTACAAATATACAAGAAAACACACAAAAAATCTAATATTATTCAAACACTCACTTGGAAGTAGTGATGGCAATGGGGCGGGGCGGGGCGGGTACCTCAATTCCCATGCCCCGCCCCACGCTACTACGGGTCGGGGCGGGTAAAACCGGCGCGGGTACGGGGCGGGACGGGTCGACCCACTCTTACATGTTGTTCAAAAAAAAATACAAGTAAATTTTACTTTTTGCAATAAAACGTAGGGAAAAACACTTTAAGAATGAAAAATATTGATAATAGAATGGATAATTGAGCTTAACAAGTTGAAAGATCGACTCTAACTAGTCGAAGAAAAGTCAAAATAGGAGAAATATGTATAGATATTGTAAGAAATTGAGATAAAATGAGTCTAGAACGGGGCGGGGCAGGGCGGGTCGGAAGTAGATACCCATGCCCCGCCCCACACTACTACGGGTCGGGTAATACCCGCCCCATCACGGGTCAAGTCGGGTAAATACCCGCGGGGCGGGTTGAAATTGCCATCACTACTTGGAAGCCACCTAAAATGGTCAAACAACGAATCCACGCATTTAATCTCATGGCTACCCTTCAAAATAAATCCATATTTCAAGAATAATTAATAACATCGGTAACTAATTAACCATGACCAGAGTAAGATAATGGTCATGTTTTCAGTGATGAAAATGAAGGAAGAATTATTAGTGGGTATGCAAATGTTGTTTACTTTAGTTTGGTGAATTGGTAAGGACGTTGTATATTTTTATTATATATATATATCCTTTATTTTTTTTTCCCAATATTCCATAATTTAGACTCTTTTATTTGAGTGATGAAAACGAAGGAATTGTTATTAGTGGGTATGCAAATGTTGTTTAGTTCAGCCAGTGACTAATGATCTAAAATTTTGCAATGGTGTTTTAGTGTTTTCCCTTCTCCATTGCTCCTACCCTATAAAAACCTGCCCCAAAGTAAAGACCACCTACCCTCCAATCTAATAAGCTTCTTAGGCAGCCATGGGAATAGAAGGAAGAAGTCCTCCATCTCGGCGGTTTCTGGCCGCGACGCTAATTGCATATTGTGCCTTCTTCCTTATGATCGCTTGCTGTCGTGCCACTCATGTTCAAAATCGAAAGGTATTTCTAATGTTTTACATATTTATGGCTTGATTTATATAATTATTATTTATTACGAATACACGAACTGATCCAGAAAAATCGTCATGTCTTTATATATATATTGATTGTAAAAAAAAAAAAATCCAAGTCATACATATTCATGACTTATTTTATGCATATGCATCATGACATTGTATATACATTCACTATGGCTAATGAGCTCTCTACGTTGCCAGGTGTATATAGCATACATGGGCAACTGTCCAAAGAGCCAAGCTTCTCTTCCCGCGCTGCACTTCGGCTTGCTTCACCGCATCATTGGCAATGCTAAGGTCGCCTCAGATTCCTTGATCTACAGCTACCATCGGACCTTCAACGGCTTCGCTGCCAGACTAACAGAGGCCGAGCATCAGAAACTTTCCGGTGGGTGTTTTTTCCACCTTCCTCCTTTCCGTCGTCGTCGGCGATTCAATGGCTTACTCTGTTTTCCTTCATTACGGCAGCCTATGAAGGTGTAGTTTCTGTATTCCCCAACAAGATCGCGAAGCTCCACACGACGAGATCATGGGATTTCATCCGCTACCCCAAGAATGCTTCGACATCAACCCGCCGCCAACAGAGCAACCTGATCATTGGAGTGCTCGACACCGGAATCTGGCCGGAATCGCCTAGCTTCGACGATTCCGGCTACGGCCCGCCTCCAAAGAAATTCAAGGGCAGATGCCAATCGTCCTCGAATTTCAGCTGCAACAAGTAATAACCCTAAACCTTAGAAATGCTCCCCAATTTCATAACCTAATGGTCTGAATTCGATTAGCTTAAATTGTAATGGCCCTATTCTTTTTACAGTAAGATCGTTGGGGCCAGGTTCTACAACGCCGCAGGAGATTACGTTCCAGGGGACATCATTTCGCCCCGGGATTCCCAAGGCCATGGAAGTCACACTGCATCTACTGCAGCAGGGAACTTTGTCACCCCGGCTAATCTCTATGGCATCGCCAATGGGACTGCCCGCGGCGGGGTCCCCGCGGCTCGAATTGCAGTCTACAAGATATGCTGGGCTTACGGATGTTCATATGTTGATATTATGAAAGCTTTTGATGATGCTTGTTCTGATGGAATCGACATGGTCTCGCTCTCGGCTGGTGGTTCGCCGATGGAGTATTTCCGTGACCCCATTGCTATTGGGGCTTTCCATTGCATGAAGAAGGGAATTTTAACCTCTAAAGATAGCAAGAAATAGTTTGAAGACAATTTGTACTAATCTATGTTTCCTAACATGCAGCACGGCCCCTGAGTGCCAAGTATAATCCCGAGGCTGAGCTAGCATATGGGACGGGACAAATCGATCCAATCAAGGCAGCAGATCCTGGGCTTGTATTTGATGCTGGGGAGAAGGATTATGTCAAATTTCTCTGCGGCCTGGGCTATTCGACCAAACAACTCCGGCTTGTCACAGGAGACCCGAGTGCTTGTACTGCAGCTACAAATAGAACCCTATGGGATCTAAACTATCCTAGTTTTGCCATATCAGCAAACAGATCAGGAGTCTCTGTGAGTAGGGTATTTCGCAGAACTGTAACCAATGTTGGATCAGCGAATGCGACCTATAAAGCCACGGTAATTGCACCAGCAAACCTCAGGGTCAGAGTTAGCCCAAGTGTGCTTAGTTTCAAGACTATTGGGAAGAAAAAGTCATTTGCTTTGACAGTCTCTACCGTGGTTGGGCAGAACACCATCTCTGGTGTTCTTGTCTGGAGTGATGGGAAGCATGTAGTAAGGAGCCCTATTGCTGCATTTGTGTCATCCAGTGAATGATCAATAAGCTGGGGTGTTTGTTTCTCTTAAATATATTTGCAGTTATAGCAGAATCGAAGTTGGTAATGTACTTTGATTCTCTACATTGAAATATAATAATCATCTTTTTAACTCGTTTGCTGCCAGATATAATATCATGTGTACTGTAGATACCTTCCACCCAGTCGATAACAAGGCTACAGCATTTGATAAATTAACAAGGATGGTGATGTTGGGGAATGAATCCAATAATCCTTCCATAATCAACAAAGTCACCTCAGTTTTAACAAGTCTAAGTCATCGCCATAGCTAAGAAACTTTGCAAACATGATTTGAAATTTTAAGCTAGCCGGCCGGCTGCCAAGTACAAGGCAAAGGTGATGTCCTCTAAAAGAGCTTAAGATCCAGGTGAACCCAAAAGTACTGAGGTTTAAGGATGTGGGTGAGACGGTGCCGTTTCGTGTCACTGTGAAGCAGTGGCGGAGCCATTCACAGGGGAGGTTACGAGGCAGGCATTAGGTAACATAATTCGCCTATCCACCCTCCACGATCCAGCTCTAGATCGCTAAAGCGCGATTTTTGGGGAGTTCGTGAAAAATTCGCGAACTGCTTTTTGAGAGAGAGCGTTTTCAGAATTTTGGAGCGCGATATCCCGTGGAATGCAGATTGAGACAAGCATCTGGAGAAAAAGAAAGAGACGGAGGCGAAATTCAAGCAGATCTCTGAAACGTAGCACGTGTTGAGAGATCCTCAGAAGATGCGGATCTGTAATCTGTACGGGGAGAAAGGGCTGAATACGTTTGATTTCCCTCCTCACGACGATACTCTGTCTGAGGATTCGAAATTTAGGTTCAATCTCCGTGATGTTAAGGATGTGGTCGCTGGATTCTTTGGTGGCTCTGTTGGCGGAGGGCTTGGTGGAGACGGCGGGGAAGGTGGGAGTGTCTAGGGGAAGTGGGAATTAGTAGGATAACGGTTGGACGGCTCTCTATTTTGGGAGGATTCTGGGTATACGAGATTGAGAGGAGAGGAAACAGATTCATTGCTCCCAAGGTTGTCAAACCGGTTTATGCCGGTGCGCCTGTTTTACAAGTGAAATGGTTCTACCGTGGTACAACCGGTACGTGCGCCAGTTTATGCCGGTTATAACAAAATTCCTCAATACAAATCTAAATAACATAATTTTAAATAATCTTTATAAAATGTAAATAAAAACATTCAATTGAACTCATTAATCTTTCCTCAAATTCAACTGTGGTCAATAATTCCAATTCAAGTTCTATTTCACCCAAATAATGAATTGGGAAAGTTCCCCATTCTGTAACCCTAATTGAGTGGAATCCTCCACCATTACTCACTTTCCCTCGATGCCCCTCCCTGTTATCCCCTCCACTTACCAAAAGGAATTTGATTGCTTCATCGAACATCAACACATAACATTCAATTAGAACCAGAAGCATACAGGCTTTTTGGAGAGCGCTCAAATGAGAGTGGTATGACATTCGCAGAGGTAGCAGCCACTTCTTCTCCACTCATGCGTTCATCCACCGCGCCGAGTACTGGCCTCCGCCGCGCGCCTGCTGGCCTCCGTCGCCGGCCTGCCTACCAAGTTGTGTCGCCGATCAGTTCGTCGCTAGGAGAAAGCGAGCAGGCGGAGCGCAGAGGAAAGAAGCGGAACGAAAACGACTAGTGGGGCGAATCCCACTTACACAAAACTGAACCTTTTCTTTTTTTGTTAACAATCTCAGTTTGTGAAAACGAGAACGGCGACGTAATGATAAGAAACCGGAAATTACCCTTCCGGTTGAACCACTGGTATTTCCGAAATTGATCGATTTTGACCGGAGTTGACCGGTTTTGATTGTCGCATCATGCCGGTGGTATTCCAGCCGGTTTCATGACCGATACCGGTTGAACCTGGTTCAACCGGCCGGCCTACCACCGGCGTGACAACCATGATTGCTCCCCAACTATCTTGAGAATGGGTTTCTAGTGGGGAAGTAGGGTTAGTAGGTGGAGATTTCAAAATGGCCCACTTGGTTAGGGCTTAGGGTTGTGCTTGTTTGCGTACGGACTAGGATAAGAATTGGGGCTAGGTTGTTTAGTTTTAAGTTTGAGTTAATATTTCCGTATGGCTTGAACTTTGACCAAAATAAACATCTTGGCCAATATTTTCGATCTATAACATCTTGGCCCGAACTATACACCAAAATAAACAATTTCGCCAGATCCGACTTTTGACCGTTAACTTGGACGGTCAAACGCGTTGACCGTTAGTCAACGCGCCATGTCACTGCCAAGTCAGCATAAAATATTTAAAATAATTCACAATTTCCACACATTCCCTAATTTTAAATTATTATAAATTAAAAAAATCATCTAATACCTTAGTTAAACCAAAAATAAAAAAAAATTAAATATTTATCAGATCTTCTAACTTGGCAGTGACGTGGCGCATTGACCGTTAGTCAACGCGTTTGACCGTCCAAGTTAACGGTCAAACATCGGGTTTAGCCAAATTTTTTATTTTGGTGTATAGTTCGGGCTAGGATGTTATAGATCGAAAAGATTGGTCAGGATGTTTATTTTGGTCAAAGTTCAGGCTATACGAAAATATTAACCCTTTAAGTTTTGGGATGAAAGTTTGTTTGTTCGAATTTTCACTAGTATGTTTTTGAGTATTAACAAATTTAAGATAATAATAATAATAATAACAACGCTCACTTCACGCTCTAAATATTGAATTCTTCTAAATTCGACGCTCTCACGCTCCCACTCCACGAATTGGTTACCTAAGGCAGGCATCACCCTTGTCCTCTTAATTAGTGGGGCAAAAAATAGGAAGCTAAGTTACTTACACACCCATAACCTGCCGCTAGGCAAATGTCCACTGAGATTGCAACTTAGCTAGCACGATATGTATACGTATCAATCGAAGCCCAAAAGCATTGTACAACCATTAATCACACTTAGCACTTTATGCAAGGATTGTAAGAACATGCTAGATGTTGTACCAGAAAAGATAGTGGTCGGTATTTTGTGGTTAAAACATATGAAATTTTAGTCTTTATACATGTATCCCTTAATTTAGAACAACGATTTTTCCTTGAAATGAAATTTGTGGTCATCAGTTGAATTCCTGTGACCTACCATTCGATGACAGGTTCAGAAATTTACAAGATATTGATGAGTGGTTGAACGCACGATGATGACATATATTGAAGAAAATTTGTGTGTTAGTTTGGACAAAGAATATGTCCTAGAATACTTTCAGAATATGAAATCTTGTCGTGGTTTGTTGTAATCGGTGTATGTCAAACTAGTATTCAGTAATTGTATGAAGTTTGAGCATTAAGTTGTTGACTTCTTATTTCTTTTAGACTTTAGAGTTGACTATTCTATCATGTAGTTGATTTTTTTACAATTTGAAAAGATACCCCCTTGACCATTTTTCTGGCTCCGCCACTGCTGTGAAGGCAAAGCTGAAGCAAAGTGGGATTGTCTCTCGTGTTCTGGTTTGGTCTGATTGGTGTCGTAAAGTCCGGAGTCTAATTGTTGCTCATACACTACAATAACCTTCATTTTCTGGGTTTTTTTGGGTACTAAATAGATGTTTGGTTAAACTCAAATATATATATATATATATATATATATATATTTGTTGGGATAGGAAATAACGATGAACTCGACATGTCCAAAGCATGCATGTAATTTGGAGTCTGGATGTATTTTCTTATGACAGATTTAAAAAGTACCAACATTAGTTAGGGATTCGAGCTCGTATTAAGTTTTGGGACTTCAATATGGGATCTATGTTTCCAGGCGTCCGAACTCCATAGTATTGTCATAAAGCTTCTTTATTTTGTACTGACAAACTTGAAGATACTTGAAATTTTGTAGAGATATTAACGATACTTTGGACACGTGTCAATGAGCTCTTAGGTTTCTGTCGAAATCAAATAACTGATAATTGAGTATCTTACACACATCTAACAGTTAAATGACCATGAGGGTGCAAGGAGAAAGTTGTGGGGATATCATTTTGAAGCTTACATGGACCTCAGATAACTTTATTGGGAGTAAACAATCATTCAACGATTTAGTAGGTATGAATTCTTGAAAGAAATAACTTAACCTTAGTAATAAGGTCGATTATGAAACTAAAAATTGGAACGATACCAACTTCTCGGTTTATGTCAATAGTGAATAGATCGTCTAGATTCAAAGGTTTCCAACTATATATTTATCTCTTTAACCAAATCCAAGCGTTTTGTCTATCAAAACTTGGGTCCACACGATCCTCTTAATTAAGGACGATCGAGGTGTGCAACTTGATTCGAAAACACTGATACCACACCCTTGATACCCGTGACAAATACATTTAGGATATAGCATCATATATCTCAAACTCTAAATATTAAATACTACCCAAAATCAATCAAATAAAGCATAACACCTTACTTGCTAAATGCTTTGCTTCAGTTTCACTGAGTTTTGCTGCAAACCCACTTGTAGAGCAATAGTCATAGACAAGAGATTCCTCTGGTGTGCTATATCGAAGACATAGGCAGTTAAGAAAAAGCGTAGGGTGAAACGGGGTCAGAAACTAACCCTAGCTAGCTAGATGATTTATGAAGGAAATTTTTTTGTTAATACAGTAATATTTTATATTGTTGAAGCATACATGTCTTGAAGCACAGTCTTGAGAAGATCTAGATGTGCAGGTTTGGTACTAGGTATAATCTGTGAATCCAGAAACACCAAGTAAACCTGCAAAACAGAGGAGTTAAGAATTTTATGGATTGTAAAGCCTTACAGGAAAATTTGATGATAAAATAATTTTATGTTTGAAAATTTTGTTTAATCGTGATTCAATCATTTCATACTGATAAAAACGTCCTACCAATTTAGCCTTCAATAAGAAATTATTTCAAACGGACCGCTGATATGATACAATTTCACAAACTTCAAACAATTTACACATTTGAAAGCAAAAGCCAAACTAATAACTCAATAGATATGATTATCAACAAAAGGGGGAAATAAAAAAAAATTCCATCTAATTGCTGGAACTTTACTTAACCTTACCTTCCTAGGAGTAATACTGGTCGCGTGGCCATGAGTAATGCCAGTAGAAATGAAGATGATGATAAAGGTTTTTACTAGAGGGACAAATCGTAGAGTTTTTGCTAGGGCCATTTTAGCGGGTGATAAACAAATGAACGAGTCCACTCTTTTTGTTCTTTTGTTTTTGTTTTTTCCCTTTCCTCAAAATTAGATCACATATATAATACTAGATAGGGCAACAAATTAAGAGTTATTTTGTCATCA